TAATAAGTCTTGTCAAATGTACTCTGATTTATGGCTAGTCTCACAAATAAATGATTAGTGAAATGAACTGAATGAAATCAGTCTCTCTCTATATATTTTTTTAACAGAGACTAAATCCAGAATTCTACAACTCAGATTATGGTTTTAATATGTACGCAACGCTTCGCATCATCATAGAAGAGAGTACACATTGGCAGTCCACTCTACTCGTACTTCAACTTCCTTGACTTTGAAAAGGTCTTTGACAGCGTCGACCGAGAAGTAATTTGAAAAATGCTTCAACACTATGGAATTCCACAAACATTTATCAATCTCATTCAACAGATATATGAGAACGCCATATGCCAAGTAATTTACAATGGGAAGCTCAGTGATGCTTTTACAGTGAAGACAGGAAAGAGTAAGAAAAGGATGTCTACTATCACCCATAATATTCCCGATTGTAGTGGACTGGATCATGCAACGAACAGTAAGGAGCGAGAAGAGGAGAATACGACTAACCGGGTACAAAAATCCTAGAGGATTTGGATGTCGCCGATGACTTGCGTCTAATGTCACACAAGATCTACAGGCGAAAACCAACAAGTTGACAGAAGAGGCAGGACAGCGCAGAAAAGGAAGACGGGACTTCAAGTGAACGTAAAGAAGACAGAGGTGACATGAAGATACCCAACCAACACCATCACCACCACCACCAACAACAACAACAACAATAAACTCCAATCACCATCAACAGCAGAAACTTTCAACCATCTAGGCAACGCAGACACAGACGAGGATGTCAAAGCAAGTCAGAATCGGAAAGACAGCAACACAGGTGTTCATTAACCTGAATGAAACCAGAGTGGAGATCTACTGCACTGCACTCAGCATAAAGCGTCAACATCATCCGGATTTTGAACACCAATACCAGTCAAGTCAGTGCTTCTATGTGATGGTTCAGAGATTTGGTGCATTACGAAAGGCATTTCCAACAAACTACACACATTCGTCAACAACTGCCTACACTGGCTCCATAATGAAGATCAGATGGATGGCAAGAATAGTGAGAATAAGCAAGAAGGAGCTCACTCTGGCTTGCTGGTGACGAACCAACGAAGCAGGAACCCATCGCTCAATAAATATGCAGTTGAAGGAAGTGGAGATGTATTGGGTTGGGTTTGACATACACTGAGAAGGCCGACTGGGGACATCATGCGTCAGGCGAGATAGTCGAGTTTAACCTAGATGGGAAGCGACGAGTTGGTTGTTCGAGGTGAGGGTGACATGGAGGAGATGGTGTGAGGAGGAAATGAGAGGTTGTTGGGTGTCATGGAACCAGGTTTGAAAAGATTGCAGAGAATAGAGTGTAATGGAGAAGTGCTACTGAAGCCTTCTATTCCATTAGGAACCCAAGGGACAAATAATAATATATTTTTTTAACACAGAGCCTAAATCCAGAATTCTGCAACTTAGGTTGTGGTTTTGATATAAATATGATAAAGACATATTAATATAAGATTTAAATCCAGTTATTCATTACTGTTAAACGGATTGAATACATTTAATCATAACATTAACCTGTATCTCACTAACAGATATTTAAAACGTTTTACTTATCAGAAAAAAGGTATTGACAATAACATAATAACCTACTTTAGCTTAATTTTCATGGCCTATATATCAAACCATTATTTTATTTTTTAAAAGTACTACCTAGTTTATTTCATTTTCTAGTGAATAAACGTTTGGTATATGAATAATCAAATTACAAAGGATTATAGAAGTCAGCATATTATTAAAAATGAATGAAATGGATAGTTTAGCTGAGTTTTATTCAAGTGCTTTATAAAAAAAAAAAACTTAACTATCGCCTTCGAAATAAGTAATGGTTATTCCAAGCCTATATAATTTCAAGTTTTTATTGTTGAATACACAGAAATCCTTCTTATGAGTAAGATAAACTATTCTACTAGTGGATATTCAAAAGTCATAAACACGAATAATGCATTCATTATGTGAACAGTAAATAAAATAGGTGAAATTGAATGATGTAGTTTATTCACACAAATCCATACCATAGCCTATTGATTTCAAATAAATATCGGCAGAAAAATGATTCGGTGTCAGTCTGATCATAATAGAGACAAAATAGACTGATAAGTTACAACGTAAGCTAAGTAACGGTGAAACTATCTAAACATGAAACGTTTATATTATTATTATTAATTGTCCCTTCAGCTCCTGGTGGAATATAGGGCTTCAGTAGCACTTCTCCATTACACTCTATTCTCTGCAATCTTTTCAAACCTGGTTCCATGACACCCAACAACCTCTCATTTCCTCCTCACACCATCTCCTCCATGTCACCCTCACCTCGAACAACCAACTCGTCGCTTCCCATCTAGGTTAAACTCGACTATCTCGCCTGACGCATGATGTCCCCAGTCGGCCTTCTCAGTGTATGTCAAACCCAACCCAATACATCTCCACTTCCTTCAACTGCATATTTATTGAGCGATGGGTTCCTGCTTCGTTGGTTCGTCACCAGCAAGCCAGAGTGAGCTCCTTCTTGCTTATTCTCACTATTCTTGCCATCCATCTGATCTTCATTATGGAGCCAGTGTAGGCAGTTGTTGACGAATGTGTGTAGTTTGTTGGAAATGCCTTTCGTAATGCACCAAATCTCTGAACCATCACATAGAAGCACTGACTTGACTGGTATTGGTGTTCAAAATCCGGATGATGTTGACGCTTTATGCTGAGTGCAGTGCAGTAGATCTCCACTCTGGTTTCATTCAGGTTAATGAACACCTGTGTTGCTGTCTTTCCGATTCTGACTTGCTTTGACATCCTCGTCTGTGTCTGCGTTGCCTGTAGTTGAGACAGTGTTGCCTAGATGGTTGAAAGTTTCTGCTGTTGATGGTGATTGGAGTTTATTGTTGTTGTTGTTGTTGTTGGTGGTGGTGGTGATGGTGTTGGTTGGGTATCTTCATGTCACCTCTGTCTTCATCAACAAAACATAATACAAATTTAATCGCTCACCCGTAAAAACGATTCCTGGTGATAAATCGTAGTGTATTTTTAAAGTAGATGACACATTATTATACATATACATACAATATATACAAAATCCAACTGCATGAGACTTCATTGAACCTAGATGTAGTACTAAGTGACATTCAGTAACCAGTTGTATCTGAAAGACTTGAGAAATTCAGGCTATCATTGACTTATGGAACTATTTCAGTTAAAATCATTATCTACTTGACCTAAAATCTTTATGATCATAATCTTGATTTCGAATGTTTTTAACTTTTACTTCCTTTTTCTTCTTTCAGTCCAAAATACCATGATTTTATCGGTGGAAAACCTTTAAATCCAAGCATTTATCTAGAAATTAGAATATACTAAAAGGTTTTTGAACGATATATTGTTCATTAAAGTGAATGCATTTGAAGTATACAAAAAAGACCTTATGTATTTGAAAAATCTTTATTTCAGTGTCTGTACCACGCATCATTATTCTATTGACAGCATTCGATATATGCTAGTATTTAGCGTCAAGTACTATTTATCTTTTAAGTACTTTAAAGACTCGTTCACTTATAGGCATATCGAAATTCAGGATTACAACTGGCATATCTATTTATCTTGTTTGAACATGAAAACAAAATATACATCATTGTAGTAATGCAAATTTTTGTATGGATAGTGTCAATCAGTGTATCTCATTACCGAAATACCTGTATAATGCAGGGTTCATAAATTCAGCTATGGTGTGTCACCGCTCTCAAAATTTACGACACATGAATTTTGAGATTTGCGAGGATTTATTTAATGATTTCAGGCTGGTATTTCTCGTGGACTGACATGAGTTGGTGAGACATTGAAAACCTGGAAGTACTGGCTAATCGATTCGCCTCAGCATGGGGCTTCTCCGTAGTGTACAATCATGACCAGGACCATCAACGAGCGAAACAAACACATTCAGGTTCCATGATCACCTTGTTAGCATTGAGATACTAAAACGGAATCCAGTGGTCCATATTTCAAGTTGATATTAGTCTCGGACATACATCAGTTGGAAAAACACTAGGAAACTGGGAGCACTGAACATCTGTTTCATCCCAACATGTCACTCGGCAGTGCGCAGCCATGACTCCGCTCACCAGGGGTCAAACCCACGACCTCCAGGTTCTGCGTTGCATACGTTACCAGTTAGCCATTGGGTCGGAATCCAGTGGTCCATATTTCCCAACCTGAAATCAACAAATAAACCCCTACAAACTTCAAAACCAAATGATTCTAGTGCTCACTGGTGATTTCGGAAGTTCCAATCAGAAGTCATAATCGGTGGGGTGAACGAAGACGAACTTGAGGACGTTTTCTCAACGATGGCATCGGATGGAGGCCGCGTTATATCGCGAAATGATTGGAGTAGAAAATATGGACCACTGGATTCCGTTTCGCTAGTTGATGGTCCTGGTCATGACTGCGCACTGCCGAGTAGATATGACAATGCGAAATCTCACGAAAATATGAGCTTATGGCAGTTCACCATTTATAACCGTAACGAAACATAATGAAAATATAAAGATATTGAAATGAACACAAAACTATTTGAGAACCAACAAAACAACCAAGATTCAGATGAAAAATTAATTATTCTATACCTGGTAATGGAAAATTTTTCTCATTACCAACATATTTGTTCAACAATCTTTTTTCATATTATTAAAGACGTTAAAAGCGTCAACTACAATTGAATGAATGTCTTGAACTGACAGTTATTGAATTAGTGTATTGCTTCTAGTTTCAGAGTGACTATTGTCAAATTAATCAATCAAAAGTTACAAAGTAATAATGTATCATTTATTCAGTTACATTCTACCATATAGGAGAATAAAAGAATCATTTTAACCTATTTCATTTACTAAATTTATTTCAATAGTAAAATTAGAAGAAAATATAATTTTAAATCGTATCAATTGAATGATAAAACAGATTGTATTACTTACTTTCACTGCTCATATGTAATAGATGTGTTAACTTGATATTTTATCTATCCTGATTAACATATATTCTGAATCCTTTCAATTATTTATATTCTCCATTTATCTTTTCATACAAGAGTAATGTTGAATATAATAAATAAATCTTGGTTTAAAGAAAAAAATGTCAGCAACCATTAATAAAATTTTTATATTTTTCAAAGTTTTATTACCTGATTAGTTTATTTTTAATTCAAGTTAACAGTAATCTTAATTACAATAAAAATCTTTAATTGAACATGAAATTATTTATATTTACAGTTTTCCTGACACAATATTAATAAGGTAGATATTCATTACAGAGTACAGTACAATACTCAATAACCTGAAGTTAACTAGCTTATAAACATACAGATATTCTTTTTAATATGTAAAAAATGATCATTAAGACTTTGTAAAAAGTTCATCCACATCATTTCTTAACTGATTCATTTAACAAACTCGTTAAATACTTCCACTGATAAGTTGAATAATTCCTTATTTCTTTTAGAAAAGGTAGACAATATCACAAGTTGAAAGATAGATGTTTCTTGTTTTGAATATACATTATTTGTATAAGTATATTGTAAAAGTAATAATCCTTTTTATCAAGAAACTTCTAGTTATTGAAGAGATAAATTTCTATCCAAAACACTGAAAACAAAACTGTTCTATGAATTTTTCTAATAGGTGAATAATTATTTATTGAAAAACACCAGGTATTTAAGTATTGTTCAACTTTTATCTGATAAATTACTTTTTTGTAAAAAGATATTTTGCTTGCCAAAGCTATTCAAAATAGATAAATTATTCCTTTCCATGAAATCAGTTATGTGAAGAAGTAAAACAAAGTATTTCTTTGATATTGACCAATCACAATTCAGTGTGTGTTATATGAAGTGTTAAGGGAAAATGAGAAATTCACCTTTTGATTTGTAGAAAAGGAAGAATGAAAAAAGTTAATATAAACGAAGGTAAGATACAAATTTTATCCACCTTCAACCGTAAAACAAATAGGAAATTTTGAAAAAATAGTAGTTTCAACATAAATCGATTCAAAAATAATATATCTCAGACACATTTCAACTTTAGCAGGTACAGATAAGGATGTGAAAAACAAGATCGAAAAGGCAACGAGACAGACTTTCATTAATCTGAAATAATCAGTGTAAAGATCTACTGAACACACACCATAAAGCATGAACAAGATCCGGATTTTCAACACCAATGACAGTCAAGTCAGTGCTGCTATATCGCTCAGAAACTTGGCTCTTCACGAAAAGCATTTCTAATAAACTACAGATATTCATCAACAGCTACCGCCTACGCTGGCTCCAAACTAAAGATCAGATAGCCAGAATAATAAGAATAAGCAACAAGGAACTCACTTTGGCTGATGATGAGCCAACTGACAACCTATCCCCAAACAAATATGCACTTGAAGGAAGTGGAGGTGTATTGGGTTGGGCATCCACTTAGAAGGTCATTTGGGAACATCATGCATCAGGCTAGGCCGTTGAATAGAATCGAAATGGGAAACGACAAGTTGGACGTCAGAGTCAAGAGTAATATGGAGGAGATGATGTGAGGAAGAAATGAAAGCTTATGGGCAGTGGTGGAGTGAGGTTGAGGAGACTTCGGAGAACAGAGTGAAATGGCTAAATGCCACTGAAGCCCCATATTCCACTAGGAACCCAAGAAACAAACAAATAATAATAATATCTCAGATACACTATAAATTTATTTTTTGGTATAAGTATGAATGCATCAGTAATTCTATGTCATCTTTAAAAGCTTGGTAAGTAAATAAAACGACGTGATTACAGTTGTCGCTTTAAAATTCACTAACAATATTTAACATGCAGAACTAATTAGTAGCTAGTAAATTATTTAGAACAGTTGAACGTATAAAGGATAGTCTTTCATTACAGATTGTGATGTATTTTAAATCTTAAGGAAAAAAAGTCTACTAGAAAAATGTATAGATAAACACTGATATTCTCATGATTTTTTTTAACAACAAAGTGTCTTGCAATATCATCATTTTTACTTTAAACTCTATATATTTCAAGTAGATTGTTCTTTAGGGTTTTAGTTGACTAATGGATGTATTTTTATTCAACTACCTAATAATTAATGCACTTTTCGACATAAAAAGAAAACATGTTTACAATATTTATTTACATACTCATCTAGCTGATCACTTCAGATATAAAAACGAATCTAGACTAACTAAAAAGTCTAGTAGTCAAGGACTCTATGCATCATTAAGATCAAAAATTAAGTAACAGGCAATATTAAGGCATCCATGCAGGAGCTCATATGCCAATAGAGACCCGGAAAAAATTTGGTCCAGTCAGTGACGAGGTAATACTAGCAACGTCACATAAACTATACTGGTTTCATAAGAAGTGGCTAACGTGGGTCAGAGGCCTAGTGGATGATGCTCTGGTGTTTAAACCGATCGCTTCCGGGTTCGAGCCCCACTGAGAACAACATCGATAACCGATAGGAAAGTACATTCAACTAACGAGTCCCAGATGCAACGAAAAGTGAGGTCTGGATTCCACTGCTAGCCACCGTCCATCGTCAAAGTCATCAAACTTAAAATTAGTTAGCTTTTACAGATAATGACCTATATACATAGTAATATTTACTACTTACGGAGCGATAAAAAGCAATTTAACACTTGAATACACGTAACCAAACTGAGGCACTGATTCATACTTATTACCTAAAGCTGTATGGTATAGGAATGCCTTCAACTAGATGCTGTATTGTAGACAGGGAAGAAATGGAAGCAATGTGCAGATCTACTGCACTCAACATAAAGCGTGAACAACATACGGATTTTCAACACCAATGCCAGTCAAGTCAGTGCTTCTGTGTGATGATTGAGAGACATGGCGCATCATGAAAAGCATTTCCAACAAACTACAGACATCATACATCAACAACTCCTGCCCACGCTCACTCCATAGTCACAATGAAGATCAGATGACCAGAATAATAAGAATAATCAACAAGGAACTCACTCTGACTGCCTGGTGACGAACCAACTAAGAACCAATCATACAACAATTATGTAGATGAAGAAAGTGGAGGTGGATTGTGAGTGCACTGAGAAGACCGATTGGGGACATCACACCCCAGGCCACACCATCGAGTTTAACCCAGATAGGAAACGACGAGTTGGTTTTTCGAGGTGAGGATGACATGAAGGAGATGATGTGAAGAAGGAATGAAAGGTTGTGGGTAGTGTTGGATCTAGGTGGTAAAGACTGGAGAGAAGAGAGTGAAATGTCTATGTGCTACACAGAAGCTTTTTGTTCCACTAGGAGCCTAAAGGAATAGTAATGATAGTTGTAATGAACCTCTACGTTTAGCAAAACTGTAGGTACTTTTAACAAACAGAAAACTTACTACTCTGCCAAGTTTTATCTAAAAACAACCATTACTAAGGCAAACAATTTACACTTTCATAATTAAAAAAGAAATATGGTCACAGTTAGATTACAGTGAATTAGAAGAAATTTATGGTAAGATTAAAAGTAATATCTTATAGTATATTTATAAAACTATAAAAATTAAAAGGTCATCATTTATGTAAACAGTAATACAACAATGATAATATGGAATCTACTTTATTAAATGGATGTATATAAAAAATGTTTAAGAAAACAACGCTAAATTCAAGCATAATTAAATCAATATACAGTTAGAGTTAATTCAAAAGTCCTTGGTGAGGAATCGATGTAAATTATCTAGTTTTCACTGTTACCTTAACTACCTTTATTAATATTTTCATTAGTCATAAAGCAACATATTTCTAATTATGTATATCTGTTGAATATTTATGATTTATTTTACCTTCTATTAGCCTTTACTATTCATTGATATACTTGTTATTCTCCGTTGTTTTGTTGGATCGAATTGTTTGACTTCAAATGGCATATGGGCTTCTATGTGGATGCCTCGATATTGCCTGAATGTTAATTATGATAATTTGGTTGGTTGCGGCTAACAGAAGAATCCAAGACAATTCTATCCAACACAATAAACAATGGGGAATAAAAAGTATGTCATTAGATAGTAATAACTACTATCCGTTGCAAAAGAAGTGGCTACGGTGGCTTCACGGTGTAATGGATAACGCTCTTGCGTTTAAAGCGATCGCTCTCGTGTCCGAATCCCAGTGGAACAACATCACTCACTGGGAGCCGGCAGGTACATCCAGCTGACGAGTCTCAGATGGGACGAAATGAGCATCTTGGATTCCACTGCTAGCCACTGCCCATCATTACTATACAAAATACTTAAGACAGAACATTACAATAAGTTTTACGGAAAGAAAACTTCATAAGAATTGGAGTTAATGCCTATTGTTTCATAGTCGCAATGAAATCGTTTCAATCAAAAATATTTGCACTAGATGTGAACAACATTAGACATTTCTGACTTTAACTAATTTCTTCACTAACCTTAAATATATACAGAAAGCCTAATGAATTTCCTTTATCCTAGTAATTCCTGAAAAATAGTAGCTTAAAACATTTTTCGTTTTTATCGAATTGTACCTGTTTGGGAATACAGTTCAGCTGTAGACAAATAAAATAATTTTATTACTATCTATTCTCCATTGTTTGTTGTGTTGGATCGAATTGTCTTGGATTCTTCTGTTAGCCGCAACCAACCAAATTATCATAATTAACATTCAAGCAATATCGAGGCATCCATATAGGAACCCATATGCCATTTGAAGTCGAACAATTCGATCCAACAAAACAACGGAGAATAACAAGTATGTCAATAAATAGTAATAACTATCACCCATTGTACAAGAAGTGGCTATCCTTCCACTGTGGCATAATGGATGACGCCTTGGCGTTTGAAGTGATGGGTACGAGGTGTGAGTCTCAGTGGGAACAGCATCACTCACTAGGAGCCGGCATGAACATCCAGCTGATGAGTCCCAAATAGGAGGAAACGGGCATCCTAGATTCTTCTGCTCGCCACAACCAACTAATTTATCATAATTCTATTAGTCCTGTTCTGTATTCTTAGTACACATAATAAAATGTTATAAAGATTGGTGCTTTACTCAGTATATAATTATGGTTATATAAAACTTTTAGAATATTGACCAGATGTTTATAAATATATTTTGACTGTTGTGAAAATAAGCAATTTCCTAGAAACAACATTCGTATATGTTCAAAATGAATGTTGGAAGTATATTATCAACTATGCGAGCTTGAATTTCTCAGGATTTTTCAACGAAATGCAACATTAGATATTCTAAACACTCTTGAATACTGAAATAAAATGTTTAAGAATCTATAGAAAATTATTATATAGGAATTTTTGTGTATATAAATCTAAAACTTCCTAGTGTTTTGGTTGTATTTGTGTTCTCTGAGATGGGTTGTTTAATCGTGAAGTTTTCATTGTCTTTCTCTCGATGACATCATCAGCAATAACTTCAGTATGAAGTTATACTGAAGTTAGTGCCTATGAAACAACCTAACTCACAGAAAACAATACAACCAATACCATCCATCTGAGCTACAATTATTCTCCATTACTTCCTAATGTTTTAGATTCGAATCATTATTATTATTATATTATTATTTGTCCCTTGGGTTCTTAGTGGAACATAAGGCTTCAGTAGCACGTTACCATTTCACTCTTTTCTCTGAAGTCTTTTGAACCTGTCGCTGTTTCGAATCATAATTCACATCAAATTAGGATTGAGAGACAATAGCAAGAAACTGAAATTACAGGCTGTG